TAAGGATCGACGTAACCGGTAACCGTACGGACCGTTAGTATAACTAGATTACTATAGTATATTAGTACTATAATATAATTAGTACTTATAGTATACTNTAATATGATGAATCATTTCATGCAATAGTTGTATAGTAGTATAATGCAACCAAACCTCTAGAAAACCATGTTTTTGGCATTTGTATGACTGCAAATTTCGCACACACATTCTCTTCATCCTCATGATCATTCCTACAAAAAAAAATAATCAATTTACACCTTGTATATGGTCAAAATTAGTACATTCGAACAATGAATCTCAATCGTCCATTTGGTAAATTTCAAGATCTAAGCCTTAACAAATTCAAAATCACTTTTTTCTTTCTCAACGTTAATCTAATGATGATAACACTATATAAATTTTTTGGGAATAAAAAATCCTTTTGAGGCCTATATCTAACCATCTCATTAAAATGGATGGCTTATATTACTTGACCTAGGGTGTTTTTTCTAAAAAAATTTTTTTGTGATTGTTCTTTAGAATAAAAAGAGTGCACATTTAAAAATTTGTATCAAACAAATGTCTTTAAGATGGTTTTTGAAGATGGTTGCATTATACTAACATACAGTCGTTGCATGAAATCATTCCCTTATAAATATATAGTGACAATGTCTTTGTAGAGCAATGATCCAATGCAATGGTTGTATAAAAGTATAATGCAATGACACTTCTAGAAAACCATGTTTGTAGTATTTGTATGATCTCAATTTTTGTACACACACTCTCTTCATCTCAATAATCAATCCAAAAAAAAAAAAAGTTATATTGGAATCCTAGATATGATCAAAATGAGTCCCCTCCAAAAACGAATCTAAACCATTCAATTTGTCAATTTCAAGATCTTAACCTTTATAAACTCAAAATCATTTTTTTATTTTTTAACATTGTTCATCTAATGATAATAAAGCCATCCAAAAAAATTGCAAATGAAAAAGAACTTCTAACGTCTAGATCTAATCATCCCACTAAAATGAACAGCCTATGTTAATTAGGCTAAAAAAACACTTTTATAGGTTGTATTTTCAATTTTTTCGTTTTTTGGAATTGTTCATTAGAATGAAAAGAGTGTATAGTTCAAAATTTAGATCAAACTAATGGCAATAAGATGAATTTTTAAGGTTATTGCATCATATTGCTATACAACAGTTGTATGAAATCATTGCCCGTCTTTGTATTATAAATGTTTAAAGGACATGCAATGATTTCATGCAACCGTTGTATAGTAATATAATGCAACAACTTTAAAAAACCTGCTTATGACCATTTGTTTGATCCAAATTTTGAAATATACACTATTTTCATTCTAATGAACAATCTTAAAAAAAGAAAAAATTGAAAACACAACCTACAAAGTATTTTTTTAGCCCAATTAACACAGGCTGTTCATTTTGGTGAGATGCCTACATTTAGACCTTAGAATGACTTTTTCATTTTCAATTTTTTTGGATGGCTTTATTATCATTAGATGAACAATGTCAAAAAAGGAAAAAATGATTTTGAGTTCATAAAGGCTAAGATATTAAAATTCACAAAATGAATGGTTTAGATTCGTTTTTGGAGTGGACTCATTTTGACAATATCTAGGGTTCAAATTTTAACTTTTTTTTTTTTGTAGTATTGATTATTGAG